TTAGTTATCTTACGTGCCATCCTTAATCCACTCGACGAACCTATTCATATTCTTACGTGATGTCACGCTCCCGACAACCTTAGCCTTGACATCCAACGCCCTCTCCTTAAACCCTTCGTCCCCCAAAACCCGTTCGACTTTCTCCTTAATCTCCTCTCTCCTCACGACGCCACTACTCTCGTCTTGCCTCACTCCCAACCCCACCCGCCACTTGTCGCAAATGTAGCTCCGGTTGAGCCGCTGGTCCGCAAAATACGGCCAACACACGATCGGAACCCCACTCGAAACCCCCTCGACCGTCGAGTTCCACCCGCAGTGGCTCACGAAGCACCCTACCGACGGGTGGCGCAAAACTTCCTGCTGTGGGGCCCACCGGATGATCATCCCCCGGTCCCCGACCCTCTCCAAGAAACCTTCCGGAAGCTTCTTCTCGTTGTCGTCCCGGACGACCCACAGGAAGGGACGGGCCGTGAGCTCGAGGCCCAGTGCAAGCTCGACGAGCTGGGCCGGGCCGTGCTCGGTGGAGGTGCCGTGGGCCACGTAGACAACTGAGCTGGCCGGGTGGCGGTCGAGCCATGATAGACAGCTGGAGTCCTCGGGCAGGAAGCTGCCCGCGGTCTTGCCGGCCAGGCGGTTGCTGGCGAGGAGGGGGCCCATGGGGAGGAGCTCCGGATGGAGGGAGAAGGCGCCGGGCTCGAGTTCATGGGCCGAGTTGCAGATGATTTTGTCCGCGGATTGGATCCAGGGGAGGCTTACGGCCCATGAGTGGAAAAAGGCTTTGCGTGTGGGCTTGTCGCCGATGCAAGCCCAGATGAAGTCCGTGGTGTGCACGGCTGCCATGTCTGGGGACAGCTGGATTAGCTGGTGCTTCAAAATTTCACCTGCAGCATGAATTATTATTATTATTATTATTATTATTATTATTATTATTATTATTATTATTATTATTATTATTATTATTATGTTATAGTGTGATCTGGGATTATTTTAATATTAAACTATTGTTCTCGTGAGTCTCGTTACGAGAATAGTGATATAATGCAATGACAAATGATAATAAAAATGACAAAAGTAAATTGATTATGTGCCATAAAAACAAAATGCGATAGGTATATTTGATATGAAGTTTGACAATGACAAATTAAAGTAAGTGTTTGATTTTGAAAATGATACTGGAAATGTTGTTGGTAGACAACTATATCTCTATTTATGTGTATCATTCTTACACAGAGACTATGCTAATCTTCTTTGTATTAGTCCAATTTTAACATGCGAGACTGATTGACAAAGATTAAAGTTGATATTTTTGTATTGGAGTCATCTAAAAAAAAAAAATGGACGATAAATAAAAGTATAAAGTTATGTCTGTAAAACTAGTTTTGAAAACTTTATTGGGTCTGTTGGTTCGATCAATTAGACCAGGAACGTTCTTGGTCTAATTGATTGCTAGAGAATAGGTCGTTTAGCGAATAGGTCGACTGATTGAAATGAATAGGTCGTTAACATGTTCGTCGGTCCAGTTAATTGAAATGAATTGATTGCTAGAGAATAACCGTTTAGCGAATAGGTCGACTGATTGAACCGGCCATAATTGGCGAAAAGTAGTCCGATCGGACAAATCTAGTATTTGATTTTATTTTTGAAAAATTAGTTTTAATATATTCTAACATAATTTAAATATAAATGAAATACGTGTTTATATGTATGGGATGTATGTATAAATTATTATATCACTTAGTTTAGGCATTTGAATGTTTTAAAGGATCTAAATATTTCATTAATAATATTTCTATATTTGAATTTCATCACTAAAAATGCTATACATATATATATATATATAATTATCAATACATTATAAAAACAATTCAACCGATCCAACCATTGATCCGAACCACTGAACCTAAAGCTCAACAGGTTTGATCATCGGCCCATTTATGGGAATTTTGTTAAGGAAAGATGACCGGTCGATTGATTTAACCATAACCACCTCACAATAAAACTTGTGTATATATAAGCAAAATTTTTATTTATTATAACATTTAGCCATATTTGGAGGGAAAATTTAAGAGTATAGTATTCTTTTTCGGTACAAAGATTATAGTATTTCAACTTGTTCTGAGATGTACGATTTAGTATTCAAATAAAATTTGCGTATATATAGTTTATAAATTCTTCTGATTATGTTATAAAAAAGTAACTAATTAACTGTATAATCCCTAAAAATAATTTATAATTTTAAGAGCACATAAAATCTATAAAAAAAAAAATGACAAAATCTCTTAATTAAATCTTCTTTAGAATAAAAATGTGAATTTAAAGCTTGAATGCTTGTTCAAAATTCAATTTACTACACTCACCGTCCAAACTATAAATAAATTTGGTTTGTAAATATTATTTTCCATTGAAAAAATCCATTAAAATTAAATCATCTTTAAAATTAAATGTGAATTTAAAAGCTCAAAATGCTTGTTCAAAATTCAATTTACTACATATACTTGTGGACTCTCTCTCACCGTCGCCGTCTATCACCCCGTCGGCGACCATCCTCGCCGTGTCAAAAAACAGCGCCGTCATCGCCGCCGACGCCGTGCAGAACACCGCCCGCCGGATCCCCATCCTCGCCGCCACGTCGAGGGCCCACGCCATGGACACGTCGGCCACGACGCAGGCGATCCTCCCCTCTTCCTCCTCGTTCATCCTCGCAATAACCGACTCAAGCTCCGCTGCCGGGACCCGGCCGTAGAATGCCTCCGTGTTCCGCCGGAGGTCCTTCCGGTCGTCCCACGGCTCGAGCCCGTCGGGAATGCTGACCATGGCCAGGTCCCCGCCGTGCGGCACACCGCCGTTCGACCCGGCCAGCTTCTTCTGGATGAACTCGGTGTTGACCAGGGTGACTCGGAGGCCGTGAGTCACCAGCCACTGGGAGAACTCGAGGAGTGGGATAACGTGACCCTGTGCTGGATAGGTGACGACGAGCACGTGAGGCTTGGCCAT